CTCCTGCCCGGGCTGGCTTTGAACCGCGATCCTCAGATCTCAGCCTCCTGAGTAGCTAGGATTACAGGCGTGAGCCACCAGTGCCCGGCTAGAATTAGCAAAATTCTTTATGATTTTTGTCTTGTCCGTCCATTGTGAGCTTGAACTCAGGGCCTTGGCACTGTCGCTGAGCTCTTCAGCTCAAGGTTATTGCTCTACCACTTTGAGCCACAGTGCCACTTCCGGTTTTCTGATGGTTAATTGGAGATAACCATACTTTTCCTTCTGGGCTGGCTTTGAACCACAATCCTCAGTTCTCAGCCACCTGAGTAGCCATTGGTGCTCAGACTAGAAGTAGCAAATTCTTGGTGGCTTAGTTTCCCAACACTCTTCTAGGAACATGATGTAATGAGTTTAAGCATCTGAGAAATATTTCTAGTTGGAATAGTAAAGATGTCTGCTAAGTTTTTCCTACATTATAATAGGTGAGAATAGACTCATGAAAGGATTTTTTATTGTCAGTGATTTAAAACACAAAGGAATATAAATTAGCTTTAATTAGTCATGTATTTTAGAAACTCCAGTCACTGGTTTGTTCAGCTAGAAGAGAAGGAATAGGTAAATGAGAACTAAGAATTTAAGGCATAATGCTTGTCTTCTTATGATTTATGCTATAGACTACTGTCTACTTTCTTAACAAACAGTAATGTATCCGAGAAATTAAGTTGATCATATAACAGCTTTTTGAAAAAGCAAAACAAAAAGAAAAGAATTGGTTCATAAGGTTAATGAAAATAGAAAGTCCTCATAATTTTCTCTGCAGAAATTCTTGGCTGGCACACAGATGTCCATTTCTGTGATTGCTAACATTTAGGAAAACCTGGGTAATTTAGAAGTAAAAGTAGTAATAGGCCTTTTAACTTGACCAACCCCAAAATGTCATAGCAGTGACATAGCAAAGAAATACTGACCTAAATTCTTCTACTGTTACCTTTTATATCAAAGTGGACTTATTTTCTTATATGTATATCATTTGAGGAATTTAATTCAAATATTTATGATAGCAGATAAGATACTTATCCAGGTATGTTATGTATACCTTATCATATAATCTTGACAGCAAAATATAAAATGTGTAGAAAATAAAAAGCCTTTATTAGTGGCAACTGTGTTCAAGCTGGCTATACTTAGATATCATTGATTCATATATTTGTGTATGATGCTTAAAACATATCTGATTTGGGAGTTTTCAAGATTTTCATGTTAGAAATGCTCAATCTATATAGCTACTTGTTTTAAATTGGATCTAAAGATTGATTTGTTAATGATACTGACACTTGCTAATGGGTCATTTAAAAATTATAACTTATTTTGTTTCTTTAATATAAATTTTTAATAGAAGTTAAGGATCTTGCTGAAATAATACCTCAAAAGAATTCTGAATATAGTGGATATCCAGTCACAGTAAGAGGCTCATTAGGTTTTCTAAAAAATAAATTCCTTTTATTTTTTATTTTTTTATTTACAGGAAACCTGTCCAGTTTAAATCGACTTGGTCTGAGATATAATAGACTTTCAGCAATACCCAGATCACTAGCAAAATGCAGTGCACTTGAAGAATTAAATTTAGAGAACAATAACATTTCTACTTTACCAGAGGTAAGAAGTGAAATAAAGAAAGCAATATCTCCCTGTTGCACTCTGTAAATCTTACATCATTTTGGGAGCTAGCACTAGATGCTACTAAGAAAACGCTATGTAGCTATTATTTAAAGCTAAATTGCCATTCCCAGCTCAATTATCATAAAGTATTCTAGAAAGTATAATCTTTCTAGCATACAGTTTTTAAATCAAGTCTAATATTTGCTGTAATTCCCATCAATCCAAATTATTGCTTTACTGATGCAGTAATATTAAAACTTAGTATTTCACATACAGCAATTACCAAAATTTTTATTTTTACTTTTTTATTAAGTAGTATAAACTTGTGTTGATGCTGTTAGGAAACATTTTATTTTGCTTATGGCTTAGTTGGGTAAGACACAGTGTTCTTTTTAATTGTCTTAATAATTGAGTGCAGTTTCACTCTTACCTTCCCTTCATTAAAATAGTGTACTGTACTGCAGCTGGACACGGGTAGCTCATGTCTGTAATCCTAGCTGCTCAGGAGGCTGAGATCTGAGGTTCACATCTGTAATCCTAGCTATTCAAGAGGTTGAGATCTGAGGTTCAAGATTTGAAGCCATCCCAGGCAGGAAAGTCTGTGAGACTCTTCAGTAAACCACTCAGAAAAGGCTGGAAGTGGAGCTGTGGCTCAAATGGTAGAATAAGTACTAGCCTTGAATGAAAGAAGTCCAAGGACAGATCTCAGGCCCTGAGTTCAAGCCCTAGGGGACACTCTCTCTCTCTCTCTCTCTCTCACACACACACACACACACACGACACATGTGCTGCTTTTTTAGTATATGCAACATATTTTTATAAATGTAAGCACATATCTTAGTATTCTACCAAATGAACCAATGGAACTGTGAATTTATGGATTGAATGAGTTTCATAGAATCATTTTTTTCCTGATAATTAAAAATGTCTTAAAAGCTGGAGGAGGTGCTACATACCTATAATCTCAGATACTCTATTTTTTCTTTCTTTCTTTCTTTCTTTTGGTCAGTTGTGGGGTCTGGGTGCTGTCCCTGCACTCTTCAGCTGAAGGCTAGTGCTCTACCACTTGAGCCATAGCACCACTTCTGGTTTTCTGGTGGTTAATTGGAGATAAGAGTTTCCTGGATGTTCCTTCCCTGGCTGGCTTTGAACTGCAGTCCTCTGATCTCAGCCTCCTGAGTAGCTAGGATTACAGGCATGAGCCACTGGCACCTGGCATGCATATATATAATTTCTTCTACTCAGGAGGATCAAAGTTTGAGGCTTTTCACAGGCAAAGTTAGGGATACCGTATTCCAAAAATCCAAAAGGGCTGGAAGTGTGGCCCAAGTAGCAGGGTTTTTATCTAGGATGAGTGAGGCCCTGGGTACAATCTTCGTTACTTAAAAGAAAGTGGGGGCCAGGGAAGGAGAAAGAGGAGGAAAGGAAAAGGGCAGGAAGGGAGCCTTGCTGGCTTCAAACTTCAATCTTGTGGATCTGTTGCTTTAAAATTTTTTTAATTGTTTTTCTTTTTTACAGTTAGAAAAGATAATGAACATTTCTTTAAACACTGTTACCCCCTCCCTCATTTTCTCCTACTTACTACTCCCCATTCCTTTCCTCCCCAAGTTCTAAAGTTCATTTCCAACTTAGTGTCTAGTGAATATAATGGATCTTAGTTTCTTGATTACTAGAATTTAGATGTGAGCCACCAGCACCCACCAGCCCATTTTCAAATAGAGATCCTATGGAGAAAACCTTTAACTGGTATTGTCCAAACAAAGGAAGCATTAATTCTTATTTAAAAATTGTCATGTGTTGTGGAAGTAATATTCTTAAGAAAAAATGTAATTATCCGCATTTATAATAAGCACAGTAAGAAAATCAAATGCATTATACAGCACTTATGAAACATTCCAGCCGGGTTAGGTAAGAAAAATGGAGACTCATTATATTCAATGGAGACTCATTATACTATTGAAATCAGAGTTGATAAAATGATGAAGTTTTTCCACTTGAAAACTGTCTGAAAATGGCCTAGTTTTAATGTAGACATATACACACTCTTCTTTATTTTCAAACAAGTTGAAGGCCCAGAAAGGTTTTCCCAAGACCATTTTTGTCTGTACTCTTAATTACTTTCTGTGAAGCAACAGACAGATGTAAAGGGTAGCACCTAAATGATCAGTATAAAGAACAAATGGGCGTTTACTATGCAGCTATGCTTTCAATTGCATGGTTACTTATTCCTTCAGTGGACTTGCCAGTTACACTAATTGGCATCTCACACAATGTCGTAATGGGCAGCAAAGTTTGAACCCCTGCATGGCTCACAATGTGCTCATTTCTTTTTACTTGTGCTTTTGCTTCAATCTAGAATCTTTTCTTCTACTATATAAAGTATTTTTTAAAATTCTTCTAGTTCTCATCTTAACCTGTTTTCAGTTACTTCATTATTTCTTCTTTGAATTTAAGTAGAGAGGGATTTAACTTTTAAGTCCCCCCCCCTTTTTTTGTCAGTTGTGGGGCTTGAACTCTGGGCCTGGGTCAGGCCCTGAGCTCTTTGCTCAAGGTAAGCGCTCTACCACTTGAGCCACAGTACCACTTTTGACTTTCTGGTGGTTAATTGGAGATAAGAGTCTCAGGGACTTTCTTGCCCGGAGTTGGCTTTGAACTGCGATCCTCAGATCTCAGACCCCTGAGTAGCTAGGATTACAGGCGTTAGCCTCTGGTGCCTGGCTAAGCACTTTTTATACACTAGGTTTTATAAAAAATTTTGTGTATTTTTTTGTGTGTGTGTGTCTTCACTACAACCTAGAAAATAATTTCAGGAGATGGATGGGTTGGATAGATGGAGGAGAGAATGATGGAAGGGTGCCCGATTAAGATGCTTTATACAAATTGACAAGTTGAAACCCTTTTGTGCAACTATTTAAACATGATAAAATTAATAAGTAAATAAATCCCACCATTTGCAGTGATGTCCTCTTTAAAAAAAAAAGAAAAGAAAGCACCAATATTTTTTTAAATGAATAAACCAAGGTTAGAAAAGTAACTTGTTCAAGTTACATGCTATTAAAAGATAGAGCCTAGATCCAAAACTACTATAGTAGACTGTCTCGGAGTTCCTCAAATGTTAATGAGCATAAAATCATTGGGGAGTCTTGCTACAGTGAGTTTTATGATCCTGTGGGAGTGGGCCCAGAGCCTGCATTTCTATGCTGCTCCCAGGGGATATTCATTCTTCTTGAACTAGGCTTTGAAAAACAAGAGCCTATTTGATGTAATTATTGATGATTATTATTTCCTAATTGTCTTCTATCTTGTGCTTAGCACTTTAGTCACATAGTACAAAGCTTAAATAGAAGTAGGTAGGGTTATATATTTAGTCAGTACTTAGTCGATACTTGTATCTCTCAAATTTTACTTTATAGAACACATCATGAAGGTAATGATTCCTAAAGGAATCATACATTATTGAGTAACCACTCAGTGCCAGGAATTATGTTCATCTTAGTACTATGTTAGAGATAAATATGTAACTAAGACCTATATAGGAGTGGTCCTATAGTCATTATCAGAGCCAGACTAGACACTTAACATGTTCAGTAGCAGTCTCCAGCTACCTAGGCTGAGCACTGGTGGCTCATTCTTAGGAAATAACAACTCAGGAGGCTGAGATCTGAGGATCATGGTTCAAAGCCAACCTAGGCAGAATAGTCCCTGAGACTCTTACCTCCAATTAGCCACCAGAAAACCAGAAGTAAAGCTGTGGTTCAAAGTGGTAGAGAGTTAGCCTTTAGCAAAAGAGCTCAGTGGCACTGCCCAGGCCTTGGGTTCAAGCCCTACAACCAACCAAAAAATAACCCAAAACTAGGCACATATGGGATATTTCTCACCTAGAGACATGTTTTCTTTATGTCCACTGAAGCCAAAGAATAGTGAAGTCAGGAGAATTTCCTCTTTTTTTCTATGAAATCTGATAATCTATCTGACTTCATTGACTCCAGTTTCAACAAGGCCAGGATATTGCCAGGAAATAACTGTCCTATGGACAAGGTATCAGAACCAACCCACTCAGTCTGCGACTGAGATATTTGTGCTTGGAACTGCTGCTCTATTCGAAATGGCTAGTTTCAGTTCTGAACTATGGTTATTTTGTTGTTTCTGTCTTTATTTTTTGCAGAGTCTTTTATCAAGTCTTGTGAAACTGAATAGTTTGACCTTGGCTAGAAATTGTTTCCAGTTATATCCAGTGGGAGGTCCATCTCAATTTTCTACCATCTATTCCCTCAACATGGAACACAATCGAATCAATAAAATCCCATTTGGAATTTTTTCCAGAGCAAAAGTATTAAGTAAACTGAATATGAAGGTAAGCATCTGTTCTGGGACAAGGGAGGACTTACCACAAATCTAATATTTATATTTTCTTTTTTGGTGTAGAAAGCAAAAAGTCATACCTTGTTGATGAAGTCTTAAATACTTCTGAGCAATTTTTATCAGATACAACAAGCATCTTAGGATATTTGTTAGGAATTTGTTCTCAGGAAATAGTGTCATAGATGTACAGTTGCAGGGATATTTATTAGGAACTTCCTGTATCATAGGTACCAACTAATTAATGCAAATAAGGATTTTACTAAGTAATACTTCAGTAGAATACTATTGAGCCAAGAAATGTATTCTCTGGGGAAAACGTTGAATAGCCAGGCCCTGCTGCTAGCTGACTCCCTTAATTCTAGCAGTTTAGGATGCTGAGGCTTGAGGATTGCAGTCAAAGCTAGCCTGTGCAGGAAAAGTCTGCGAAACTCTTATCTCCAGAAAAAGAAAAAGAAGAAAGTGGAACTGTGGCTCAAGTGATAGAGCACTAGCTTTAATTAAGCACAGAAGCCCAGCAATAGTACCTAAGCCCCGAGACCAGCACCAAAAAAAAAAAAAAAGTTATCAGTTGTATTATTCTCAGTTCATTAGGTAAAAATCAAAGCATGTAAAAATCTCATCACACACACAGTTTTCAAAAGCTATTTTTAATGTTTAATTATGTATTAAGTACTTAGATATTGTGTGTACACACACACACACATACACACACACAGCCAGTGTTTTTCCAAAGCACAATGTTTCTCTTTGGAGATCAGACTTACTTATGGGTGATGTGCAGTTTCTTTTTACTTGTCTATGTGTTATACTGTGAATGGGTTTCACATTTGTAATAGTTTGTTTTGAAAAGAAGAATGAAAGATTATCTAGTCCAGTGGTTTAATTTGTAATGAACAAACTTTAGGCCTGGAATTGACCACATAACTGATTCATTGCTGAGGAATCCAGGAAACATATGTTTCTTTATTCCAGGTAGTGTTCTTTCTGTCATATCATACTACATCTTTTTGCCTGTGGTAATCCATTCAACTGTGATCCTTTCCAGTCTAAATATGCAATTTCTTTTTTTTCTAACTATATTTGATCATAAATATAATGTGTGTCTCATGATAATTTGATATGTATAAGTGAACTAGTGTAAATTCCATATTAATCTCTAAGCATACCGTTTGTAAATCTGGTTATATGATAAATATACGCAGTTCGAATTACTAATGCAGTAGTAATAATATTGACTCTGAATGTTCATTTTTGTAATAGGTTTAGGACACAGTAGACCAGATGTTTATTAATTTTTGTATTTGATTACACATTTTTGGATCCAATTTTATTACAGCTTACTGTTTTCAGTAAAATCAAATCAAACATAATGTTAAACAAAACTTTCTCTTGAAGAACTTAAAATGAAACCCAACATTTTTTCCTCATATAGAAAGCAGTGATTTTTAAAATTGTTTTTATTATCTATTTTAAATAGTTTTTTAAAATTATGTTTTTATTATCTATTTTAAATAGTTGTACAAAAGAATTACCATTCAACAAATCATTTGTACAGTGCATCTTAATTGATGTGACCCCTTTTGTCACTCAAAAGTAGTAAGTTCTATCTGGGGTGCTTCTTTTTGTCTTTGCCAGGACAATCAGTTGACATCACTTCCTTTGGATTTTGGAACTTGGACCAGTATGGTAGAATTGAATTTAGCAACTAATCAGCTCACAAAGATCCCTGAGGATGTATCTGGTCTTGTTTCTCTTGAGGTGGGTGAAATCTTTTGAGCATTACTTTCTCTACTAATGTTCATCATAAAATATGTGAGCATTAAGAACTCTCGGACATTCCAGTTTCAGGTTAGTCTAGCAGTTTCTATATGGCAAAGCTAAAAATGAAAAGTTATAATTTGAACTCCCTTGGACATACAGCCCTATTAAGATGATGAATTATTTACTTAGTCTTAGGTTCTGAATTAATTCTTACCAATCAAAAGGTTAAGTGCTACAGAGAATCTTTAGCATTTAGCATCTTTATAACACATTTTTACCTTAATTTTTCTCAAGAAAAACAACACTGTCTACCAAAAATAATTACAGATTCCTCGGATTAGAATTTAATACCTTAGAAAGATTCTGTGACTTAGGCCTAATTTCCATCCTAATCATCTGCCTGCTAACCTGTTGAAAATGTGGTATTCATAATTCTAGCTCTGTATGCTTATTCCTATGACTCACATTATTTATAGTGCTCTTTTCTCATCTTTTTTGTTTCATCTGTTTGTTTTGTTGGTTGTGGGGCCTGAACTCTGGGCCTGGGTGATTTTTTTTTTTTCTTTTCTTTTAAGAAGCTTTTTCGTAATGAAAGGTCCATCTTATTGTAACTTCTTCAGTCAAGAATGATTGCCTCTCCCTCTTGAGTACCTAGACCTTTCATCATTTTGATGCAAAAGCTTACTAAAATAGTATATATTATGGTATTCTTTTTTTTCATCTCATGTTTGTAAAAATCCTGTTATTTAATAAGTGAAATAGTGACTGAAATAGTTAAAAGCATTGACTTTGTGGTTGAACAGATTTGGGAGTAATCTTAAAGTTGCTCTTAGTTTGCTAAGCTGTAAAATAAGGACAATGGTACTTTATATATAGTTGCAACTGAGATTAAATGCAGTACTGCACATGATGACAATTGGTAGCTGTTAGTATTTTGTTAGTCTTATTGCATATGTTTATTTTATTATGGGTTATATAATTTTGGGGGAAAATATTGCTCCTTTCACTATCCTAACTCCCAGGATTATCTCCCTACTCGCCTACTAATTATAATGAGAATAAAGACTATCTTCTTTTTGTTTTTATTGCTTTTAGACTCTTTTAGGATACCTTGAAATGTAATAAATACAACAAATAACAAATTAGTCAAATGTATTATGTAACATTACATAATAATGTTGTATAACAAATATAACATTATATAGTCACTTATAAGTCAATTGTTATCTCCCTTAAGTGATGATTTATTTATAAGGGTTTTTTAAAATAAATAATCAGATTCCATTGGACAGTTGTAGTTATTCTATGGCAGAGCACATTGACTGTGAATCTTAGTGAAAATAGTATTTTTTAATTTTTTGTAATTTAGTTAAAATTACTTCCTTAGCTTTAGTTTTGACAAAATCAAATAGTATCTTTCCAATAATACAGTATTAAAAATATTTTAGAACAGTAAATTAAATCTTTCATGTGTTTTATAATTGAGTATTACTCTTAACATTCATTGTTTATGAGAATCAGCATTGCTCAATACATTTTAAGTGACATAAAGTAATATATAATATACTTTCACGAGTTGTAAATACTGCCAATAACTTCTCTTTAGGTTCTAATATTATCCAATAATCTTCTAAAGAAGCTTCCCCATGGTCTTGGAAATCTTAGAAAGTTAAGAGAATTGGATCTAGAGGAGAACAAACTGGAGTCCTTGCCAAATGAAATTGCTTATCTTAAGGATTTACAGGTAAAATAGTATCCTCATGGCTCTATAATTGTATAATTAAGATTTTTGGATTTCATTCCAAATTGTACATAAAGTTTTTAAAATTGGGATCTAATTCTTGAATCATAGATTTTTCTTTATGAAGGTAAATTTTATGTTTGTGTGATTTACTTACTTTCATCCTACTAGTAAATGATTTAAAAGAATATTTAGTGAATCCTATCCAATTTAATTTTCCTATTAATGTATTTTATTCTTTAGATAAGTTTTTATTCTTTAGATAAGTTTTCATCACATAAAGGAAATGTATCTGTAACTGTCTTTTCTTTTGTTAACTTTTTAGAAATTAGTCTTGACAAACAACCAGTTGACCACTCTTCCCAGAGGCATTGGTCACCTTACCAATCTCACACATCTAGGCCTTGGAGAGAACCTACTCACGCATCTTCCTGAGGAAATAGGTATGAACCCTAGGGATACTTGACTGTACTAATAATTTGCTCTTGTACTTTCAAACAATATTTCAGATATGTTTAACAAGTCTATTTTTGTAAACTGAACCTATATCCTGTTTCAGTCTTTATTTTATAATTGAGTACTAGTGGCCGGTATTGGTTGGTTGATTCTGGTTATGTATCCTCATGGAATGCTAGGGTTGATACTATATTTGAGAATCCTTTATTACAGTTATATTTCCAATAGTTTTTATATAATCTCAAGTTGTAAGAATTATTTTCTCTTCCAAATTTAAAAATTACATAGACTTGAATTGGTAATATATGCTGAAAAAACATATATTTTTTTGTTCTTGATTTGTTTTTAATTAACCAGTATATTTTGTGGTTGTTGCTTTTTTTTGTTTCTTTTACTTGTTTGTTTTGGGTTTTTTGGGGTAGATAGCTCCTCTCTGTGTGACTCCTGATGACTATTAACTCTTGGGCTCAAATGTGATCTTCCTGTCTTAGTCACCTGAGTATTGGTATTGCAGCATAAATCACCATGACTAGCTTCAGAAATAACATTTCTTTATGCGACTTATATCAACTTCTGGGTGTACTTTAGGATTTTTCCAAGAGTTTCCTTTATCATTTTATATAATCAACATGGCTGTCTTAAATTTTAAATCTATGCAAGTTTCATTGAATACATAGGAGTCCTTAAATGAATAATTCTGTATTATTTTCTGTTACCTTTAGTGAACTGTCACAGAACCATTATAGATTAGTGGTGAAGAATGGTTTGGGAGATAGTAAATAATTAAAATCTAACTGCTACTTATTAGCTTCACTGTTTTGGATATTACTCATTAAACTCTGAGAGCCTCTCTTTTCTTACCTATAATAGTTACTTATGTAGATTTGTTCTAAATAGTTATTAATCTTATAGGTAAATAAATTTATTACTTGCATCTGTTTAAGAAAAATTTCAAATGTATGCTAACTCTCAAAGATTTGTGCCAATTAACAAAAACTATTGACATGAGAAATTGATTAGGTGAAATTATCATACTATATATAATAGAAAAATGATTGTAGGCACTCATTTCTAGAATTTTAGAATACATTTTGAATGCCTTGCCATCTCAAATGGAATTTCTAGAGAGGGCTCCTTTCAGAAAATGCCAGGCTTTAAAACAACCATTTAGTGAAGTATGGTCTGAACATTGAGGTTTTAAAAAAGCCAACAAAAAGCCCTGAGATCTAGTTGTGAGATACTTCAGATGAAGAGAAATGAATAAGATGAAATATGTGTACTTAATGCCCAGTTGAATTTTTAAAAATAGTGGCTAATTTAAAAAATAATTTTTAAAAACTGACTTTTTTTTTTAAACAGGTACACTGGAGAATTTAGAAGAACTGTATTTGAATGATAACCCCAACCTGCATAGCCTTCCATTTGAGCTGGCTCTCTGCAGCAAGCTTTCAATCATGAGTATTGAGAACTGTCCACTCAGTCACCTTCCACCTCAGATTGTTGCTGGAGGGCCGTCTTTCATCATTCAGTTTTTAAAGATGCAGGGTCCATATCGTGCCATGGTCTGATTCAAACCTGCTGTTCCTACACACTGTTCAAAAATAGACTGCCATCATTGTTTCATATCTATCTGTATCTATTTATGTAGATATTGATATATATGGCAGATTTATAAAGACCGCATTATGTGTTTCTGCAAATAGAGGAATCATAGCCATTTAGATTTTTTTTTTTAATTCTGTACAAAAAAAAAGGCTTACATAAGTTTTCTTTGCTAAATTTGATGGATGTTTTTCTGTTGTGTTACCTGGTATGCCAGTTTTCTTAAAAAGTTTGCCAACCAATTATGAAGTCACTAAATTTAAGGAACAGAAGTAGTATAGTTTGGTATACTTTCCTCTTAAGAAAAATATGGGCCAAGGACTTTGTTGCAACTTTTCGTATACATTGTCCCCATACCAGAGATCAGATCTTTATAGTATTATAGGCCCCAAAGACAGAACTTTTCTTTAACTTATTTTGAAATTTGAGATTTAAATTTTATGTATGTTTACAGTCAGAGTAAATCACTGGATTTTGTTTTGTTTTGATTTGCTCTGTTTTAATCAGTCAGATATAGATTATATCCTCTGTTAAAGAATTTGCATTAGCTGGTTTGAATATAAAAGACAATTGTTTTTTGAAACAGCTAGCAAAGTAAAAATACACAGTCAAAAAATCTAGAATTCCATTAATTTTGCTTCTCTGATTAATGGAAGCAAAGTATTGGAGGTAAGTCTGGGTGGGGCAGGTATTAAGATTTTCTGAGTATAAATATGTTTTCTTAACTTTGGGGGAACAGAAACTTGTAGTGAAGAGCTTTTCATTCCAGAAAATTGCAGAGCCACAAAAACCAACAGAGAAATTTGGCAGATATCTAAGTTACACATAAACACACATTCTATATATGTATATACAATGCTATATAGATATGTATTTATTATATCATAAACTACAATAGGTAACTTTAAGGATTTCTCCCTATCCTTGTACAATGAAATGAATGTCTTTCTTTGAAAACTGCAATATATGTACGTTTCAAGGTTATTTAACAGTGTACTATGGTTTTATATCTTGACTTGCCTTGTACATCTATCTGTTTTGGAATCTCTGTGTCTAAGCACAATATCTTCACACTGTGCTGTATTGCTGCTGAACTAAATGCACTTTTCCCCATATATGGGGCACTGGCTTCAAACAATTCAGTTCAGTACCATTACTTTTAATCTCATCTTTCCTCTCTTGGTAGTTGGTAGTACAGTTATGGGAAAGAGGCACATTGCATAGAAGCCATTGGTAGTTCTGTGGATGTTATGTGAGATGTGCATGTGCTATTTTATATATTTTCTTTCGCTTTACTGCCTTCAAGACTAGCAGAATTGTAAATGTGTGCCCCTTTATGTAGTACTGTTATTTTTGGTAGTGTTGGTCTTAAGTCAGTTTACTTATTGAGGAAACTTACAGAGCAAGTGAATTCTAGATATCATCCTAAAAATACTTCCCGTATAATGAGTAACTATTATGTATATTTACGTATTGCTGCTTTTTTTTCCATTTTGTTGGGCATTGTGTTTAAAAAACTTTAAAAATAAGACTATAATATTAAGATAGAAAATTGGATTGTTTTGCTTTTCTGGCATTCAAATTCAGGATGAGTTTGAGGTCATATTTACATTCATAATTGGCAATTTTATAAAGAACAACTGAGAAATGGAAGGCAGGTAAAGATATAAAACCCTAGAATGCTTAAATGTGCTGTAAAACTATTGTAGATGTCACTGGATTTTACCAAGTAATATCCTTTCTTTTCTCCATCTACTGTGGCTTTTCAGTTAAATTTTTGTTTATAAAATGAATTTGTTTATTTCAGCTCTACTTAGAGCATATGTGTATGTGTGTTTTTTTTTTATAGTAACTTATGGAACTTGAATTTTAATGATAGTAACTGATGGCTGTTTCTTAAGAATGAATATGTGATCATTTCTCAGAACGAAAATAGTTTTAAAGCAGTTTGGTTCCCCTACCTTTGTTTATGTTAATCTGCACAGATGTACAAAATGACCCCAATCTTACATACAGAAGTAAAGCATGAATAAGACTTGTCTCTTCTGCATAGACCACCTTGTAAGAAAGAGCCCATTAATGTCTCGTTACACCACAAGGAAACTAGAAAGGACTCTCCAGACATCCTGGTGAAAACAAGATATCTAATACTAAATAATTTGAAAATGGTAAACAATATTGTTGAATGACTACATGTAAAGTGACTTTTTCCCTGGAACTATAATTGGGCTAATTGACATGCAAAAATTTATTTTCTTATAGAGATATTGTATTTAATCTATTCATGAAGTTCAGTAAATAAAGTAAGAATGCTAGAGAATATTAGATTGCAAAAACATTAAACTTTGATCATCTGTAGCAGGAAAACTATAATGGTAGCATCAAAAATCTTTTTTTTTAACATAGCACTTTTAAAGTTCCAAATGTTTATTTCATACAGAAAAGGGAAATAGTAAATAATTTATGGATGGGTACTAATGAAAACACTAGAAGCTAAAAACTCTTGGGAGGAAAACATGCCTTGACTTCATTTGTACTTAAAAAGGTGGGTGATACAATTAGAATGAGCTCCAACAAAGGTAATTGCATATTTCTAATTTGCCTATAACCAGTCATTTAAAATGGATAAATTTCTGTATCGCGGTTAGTCTGTGAGTTTTTTTGTGTGTGTGTGATAACTTGTTACTTTTTGAAAGTTTTTCATCTGGGTAATTTGGAAGTTACATGTATAAGATCTACTTCCAGCTTGCAGAATTTATAATTTTTATTAATAAGAATGAGCAATAAGTATATGGGACAATTTAGAATGGAAAGAGAAGGGCATTATAAGCAGTTGTTTGGGGATGACAATCATGTATCAACTGTGTCAGGCAAATCAAGATATTTGGTTGCTTGTGCATGATTAAACTTGATGGCAAGATTAAAAGCAATATAAAAATATAAATTTGAAATCTATCAAATTTAACTGAAATGACTTGTTATGAGGGAACATTTTCTTTGCACAGCTGTGATGGAAGGATAAAATAGCATACCAAATATCTTAGCCAAAACTTGCCTTTTGCTTTATTCTTGTGCTTGTTAGCCTTCATTCACTTGCGCAATTGGATCGAGCATGGCCACCTTTGGTTGATTATATAGTTGGAAAATTTCAGTAGGTGAGAGGTATGGCATTGATTGGTATTTAAGGGAGTACCTTGAATAAGTTGTTAAGAAAATATGAGAATGTTTGTCAAATAGATGTCAGTTCTTTGTTATTAAATAGATTGCCTGTGGTAACAATAATTCTGAGGGAACATTTCTGGGCTTATTTTTTAAACTTTAAAAATAAATAAGGGATTTTTTTAACTTTTAATTTTTAAAATTGGAGTTGGTTTCATTACCCTTTAGCACTTTGTTCTTGTACACACTTGCTAATTATTACACTAACATTCTTCTCCTACACATAGATTGAATATGAATACTAACTTGTGCTCAGGACTTCACCAAGATAATAGTTTGTAGTATTTCAGATTGGGAACCTTTTCAGGTTTGGTAGGACAAAGTCTCACAAGTGGAGAGTAACTATGCCATGTGATCCAGTATGTATAAGGAAACGGTCACTTCTTTGGTTTGCATGTTGTGACAGTTTTGTCTTGTATTATCTTAGCAGAGGTCAGTAAAGTCCCTTACTTTAATATATGAGTATGTTATTTCAGATTTCTGACAGATTGACAGATATAGCTACCTTTTTTTCCCTCACTTGCACGATGATACTTGGTTTGACTAGAGTGGAGATTCAATGTTTGTGTAAATTATTGGAGCCATATTCTTTCTATCAGTTCCAACATCAGTTCTCAAGCAGTATTTAAAAGGTACCCTGAGCATTTCACATACTTACATATCCATCTTGGAAAATGTAATGTGTGCCTGTGGTGCTTTACTGTGACAATTTCAGATTTTCCATGTTATCTACCTTCTATCACTAGTATTATTTTCATGGAGAATTCGACCTTCTAGTGGTCTTAACAAATTTGATGTACAAGTGGCAGTTGAAGCAGCCATTAGTACTGCTTTCTTTAAAGAAGTTATTCAATAAATCTACTTAATACTTAAAAATCTCATGTCCACTTAAGAAATTGTTTATGTATGGCTCAAATTATTTACTTATCTTAATATTAGTCTTTAGTAGGAAAGTATATTGATATATAATTTTGTTTACTGTTTGCCCACCTCTGAACTTTTTTGGGGGGAGATGGGGGAGTTCTTGGAGCTTGAACTGAGGACCTGGGTGTTGCTTTTGAACTTTTGTGCTCAAGGCTAGCACTCTACCTACTTTGAGCTACAATTGGAGATTAATGTCTCATGAACTTTCCTGCCTGGGCTGGCTTTGAACTACAATTATCCTCAGATCTCAGCCTTCTGAGTAGCTAGGATTACGGACATGGGCCACCGATGCCCAGCTTCAAACTTATTTTTAACATTCACAACATTGTCTTTTGATTGCTAAGTAATAATACAAAGTATTTAGTAGTTTGGACTTTCTCCTACTAAAGATTAAATTTCCAGGTGTTCAATAGAATTTGTACTGTGCTGTACACTTAGCTATTGTGAATTATGGTTTGGAATAGGCAAAAGGTGTAAACGTTCTAACACCTTCAGCTAATATACTTTTTTTTTTTGGTTGGTTGTGGGGCTTGAACTCTGGGCTTGGGCACTATCCCTCAGCTCTTCAGCTCAAGGAGAGCGCTCTACCGATTGAGCCACAGCGATTGAGCCACAGCGCCACTTCTGGTTTTCTAATGGTTTATTGGAGATAAGAGTCTCACAGATTTTCTCTGCCCGGGCTGGCTTTGAACCATAATCCTCAGATCTCAGCCTCCTGAGTAGCTAGGATTATAGGCGTGAGCCACCAGCACCCAGCCTAATATACTATATGTATGTATGTATGTATGTATGTATGTATGTATATATATATATATATATATATGCCGATTATTTTAACTATATAAAAATTTTTCACTAAGTATATATTTATCTAGTATAAAAGGTTTATAAATGTTCTAGTGAGTATACATTTTTGATATGTGTAACTGAAGCTGAAGATGAAATCAATTATTCCATAAAATTCTGGAATTGAAGTTGGATGCAGTGGCATACGCCTATAATCCCAACACTTGGAAGGAAGGCTGATGCAAGGAGAATGGAGAGTTCTAGACCTCCCAGGGCAATATATAGTGAATTTGGAGCCAGCCTGGGCTACATAGTGACATTTTATCTTGTCACACGAAATACAACTGGGAAGTGACTTCATTGCTATATTATCTGATAAACTGAAAGGACAGATGGCATGCATGAGGTAGGTAGATGTTAGGTGCATAAAAACATGCAACAAAGTATTACATGTAGTCAGCTCTTTCAGTGTGGTTGTATATACTTACTACTTATAAAACAGGCTTTTCCATGACTCCTACTCTGTAATGGACTGCCTTGTGATGGAGATACTGAGTTTCAGAAGTAATTTCCCCACTCTGAACCTTCTAGTAGTAGTATTCCATCATGTACTAGAAAGAAAGGTGTGTGTGTGTGTGTGTAAGTAAAACCTGTAAGAAAGTCTGTTTTGACTCAGCTGTCATGTTAAAATATTAGGATAACCGAAGGTCAGAATTGAATGCAGCATTCCGGGGCTGGGAAGGTGGCTCAGTGGTAGAGTGCTTGCCTTGCATGCCAGGGGCCCTGGGTTCGATTCCTCAGCACCACATAAGCAAAAAAGAAAAAAGCTGGAAGTGGCGCTGTGGCTCAAGGGGTAGAGCGCTAGCCTTGAGCTGAAGAGCTGAGGGACAGTGCTGAGGCCCAGAGTTCAAGCCCCATGACTGGACCAAAAAAAAAAAAAAAAGAATTGAATGCAGCATTCCTTGGAAGGGGAAATTTGCGTAATAAAGTTTTTTTTTTTTTTAACATTTTACAGCAGCAAAGACTATGAGGTCAAAGGAGATCACACCTAATAGAAACTAATTACTTGGAGAGGTTAACAGGAATGATTTAAATGTCATTTTCCTCCTTGGATTCTTTGGGGGAGTGTCCATTTTAATCATTGGCTCCATTGAGAAGAATGGATTGAAGAGAATGAATGCTTAAAGGCCAAGAAGCTGAATGGGAAGTTGTTGAGTATTCCAGATGAGTGAGCATAGTGGGATTCAGCTGCATGTATGGCAGTGGAGAGACAGAGAAATAAGCATTTAAGGGCATGCTGGGAATAAACATTAGGAAAAATTGATGGATTCAGCAAGTAAGACTGAAAGATTGCCACCAGACTTAACAGCTTAAGCATTTGGGTGTATTTATTAAACTAGTTTGTCTGAGGGTGGGGAGAGGATGTGTTCTAGTACCTGTGGAGGACCACCGTGGAAATGCCAAGGAAGCAGCTTGAACACTTGAAACTGGCTCTAAGAAAAG